CATTCAACAACACTGTTGATGATCATGTATTTTCGTATAAATTGATGTGTTCATATAATTCACATTCATATAAATTACGATTTAATTAAGAGATTATAACTAAATAATTTTATGACCGAAGTGAAGTATTCATGAGGTAAAACCAATAATTGAATTTGGTTCTTGTTAGAGTATGATGATTTGAATTCAGTTTGGCTCGACTTGAAAAACTGGCGGTGTGACATACATGGTGAACTAAAATTATAAGAAAAATTGAGGGTTTGTGCTAGGTTATGGGATCTGGAATTGACCTGTTTTATTATCGGGCTTGCACGCATATATATATATATACAGTCAAAACTCTCTTCTTTTGTACTTATCTTGATATAGTAGATTTTTGTTCCTCTATCCGTGATTTTCTCCCTTTTAGAATTCGACGTAAATCTGTGTGTTCGTGTTAATATTTTTTTACTTTCTATTCTCACTTTTATCTAACAGTTCTCGAATTAAAATTCAATATCGGACTAATTGTACAAGAAAATGAACCAAATTGACTAGTCTAATCCAATTCTAAATCGAGTCAAGTACTTACAAATAAAAATGTCTTAGCCTACATTCCTAATTATAATGGATCACCTACATGCTAGTTTCTATAAAAGTATAATATTTACTCAAAAGAGGACGATAACATTTTACATTTACAAACCATGCAGATTCTACTCTCTGTAGACGCGCGTGGAAGTAGTAGAATGGCTAGGTTGAATCGGTGCAAATACTTCCACATTTCTTTAACTTGCATTCTACGTTAGCTTTAAGCTTTGCCGCCGCCGGCGTGACCGGTCGTCTACTTCCTCCTATCACATATTTCTTTGACAGTTGACACTCATCTGATATATATAGAAACCTTTTTACGCAGAAATGATTTCTCATATACTGTATATCACTTGCCTTATACATAGAGAAAGTGTGAGGAAATTTTGAACACTTTAGTTTAGTGTCATCATAATCTGTTCATCAAAAAGTTGGTCGATGGGTTCATCGAGTAGTGCTGTTCCTCCGGGGTTCCGGTTTCACCCGTCGGACGAAGAGCTTCTTCACTATTACTTGAAGAAAAAAGTTTCATTTCAGAAGTTTGAGATGGAGGTCATAAGAGAGGTTGATTTGAATAAGATTGAGCCCTGGGAGCTGCAAGGTAAATTATTCTTAACTTTATCAATAACTGCATGCACATAATTTGACTATAAAAACAGTCAAAAGACTCTATTTGCTTTACTTTTTCAGTTATGAAACTCAAAGATTTAGCTCACCCAAAAGTTCATGTCGAGTATATTTCTAGAACTTGCTACTTGAGATTTGTGTATTTAGACGGTAGAGTTCGGTATGAACGAAAATGAAGAGGTCATGGTCAAGAAGAAGAGGAATAAGACAAGGAAAATTTTATTGGTATCTAGGTTCGTCTCAAAACCTAACTATTTTGTGGAGTAGCTCAATCCTTTTATGTTATATATTTACAACAATGTGTAACAATCTCACGCACGCATCTAACATCATGTAGAACTTCTATTTGCATTTCTATAGCAATCTCCTATCCAAAGAAGCATTACATCCTTGTGTGGCATACGTGATCAATAAGACTCCCCTCAATCATCTTATATCAATCTAGAAGGATCATGTTACTCCCCGTCACCGCCCACGTGAAGACATTGAGTCAGATCTAACAATCAACAAAGACTCAATTGGTCAAAATGATGAAGTCAAAGAAGAAGCTGATCTCATTGGTCCGAAATTCTTATATAGCCGAAGCCCTATTTCTCCCCGAAGCTTTCATTGGCCGAAGCACCCTCTCTGTTCGAAACTCTCTTTTAGGCTGAATCACTTGTTGTCTTTTAAGGGATCCGCAAACAATTTCTAGGAATGATTGATATAACGTTTATATTAGTGAATGTTAGGATTGTCAGCCTAGGATGTAGGGCGGGTAACCCGTTGTTAATGAATTAAATATACGGCAGACAGTGATGTCAGGATTCAGCCAGGGAAATGAGACCACATGGTTCTGATCCAACGACTACCACGTCAGTTAGAACTCTATAAATAAGTAACTCCTGTAATTCATTAGAGGATGATGCAACTCTCTGTACTTGAAACCATACTCAATTTTCACTATCTCATTCCCTATTTATATTTATTTACTTGAGTTTAGCTTACTTCTACTTTAATTGAGTTGTTTATGATTATTTGTTTATATGCAATCATCTTCGATATTGCTAATACTTGAACATTTTTGTCTCGCGTCGTAGAGTATCTCCCATGTCCATACACGCCATTCCTTCCGTTCGGATCTTTGGTCAAAACGTGTTGAAATTTACTTGCGTTGAAGTGAGTGAGTCCAACATCTGTTGATCACGTAACGATTACAAAAAATAGGTCAGCACATCACATACTCCATCGATGTTCATCTCCACCCCATTAGACCTGTGTTAATGTGGAGGCTTCTACCTTAGGAATTCGATCGTCATGAAACTTCATGTCATCGCTATCAAGTGGGCTCACAACTTAGTTCACATCTTCTGCACAATTTGAGGATTCATTTGTGAATCTACTTGACTAAGCCCATGTTCTGTTTAACTAAACAAATTAAAAATAACAATTAATTTTAACCACATATTTCATGAAACTCATAATTTTGATCAACCTTTCAACTATATGTTTCAAGAACTTTTATCAAAATCTACTAAAAAAAACCTATTTTTAACTAAACCAATCAGAGGCTAAGTCTAGAAGATTACTCTAATACTAAAGGAAGGATGAACCGCATCCTTAGCGGCCCCCACCTGCCCTGCCCTGGGGCTTGGTGAAGGAGGTAAATCGCAGGTTATGCCTCCAAGGGTATAGGGTGAAAGGCTGCTTGTACACTTACCCAAGAGCCAAATCCATATTTCAGGATTCGAACCCTTGACGCGGCAACCTCAAGCAAAGCTGGAGTTCTTCCACCTTCCCCTTTTACCACTTGGAGATGTGCCATGGGGGCAAGATTACTCTAATACTAGTAGGGACTTGCGGACGTTCTATCTCAAAAAATTACCTATTTGACGGAGTAGTCAAACCCTTATAAAACTCAAAACTATTCACGTCTAGTTTTGTCCGCATATCACCAACACATTTTTTTTTTCTTCATAATAAATCATTCAAAGTACGCAACAAATTTTTTTTTTTCCATCATGACATGGTGTTTTTGGTATGTGAAGAATGTTTTTGTCCTTTTTATAAAGAAGTAAACACAAACTATGTTTTTATATGACATGATGGACTCGATTGAATCGTGCTGCTTATGTTTAGCAAAGTTTGTTAATATTGAACAATTTATGTTAACATAAATCCATGTCGAGAATAACCTTTCTAATAACTATTCAGTTAAGAAATATATTATCAAATAAAAAATTTCCAAATTCTTGATTTACTAGCTAGCTGCATCCATTTAACTTTTTGTTCACTTAAAATCACAAGTCTACTTTGCCTATTATATGTCCTTTGGAAAATAACATTGCTAATCTTTAAGTTTACTTCTTTAAGGTTTTTCACTTAAAATCACAAGTCTACCTTAATGTATTTTTGAATAGTTTTTGTTGGAACATGTGTGGTTAAAAAATAAAGAAAAATTTTGGTTTTACTTGTAAAATTATTTTATAGGAGAATGTTAGGTTGAAAATAAATTTTGGAAAAGTGAGCAAACATTGCGTAGCATAATTTTCCAAATTCCTGTTNTGTTTCAAAGGAGATTGGCTAACACAAATAACAATTAATTTTAACCACATATTTCATGAAACTCACAATTTTGATCAACCTTTCAACTACATGTTTCAAGATCTTTTATCAAAATCTACAAAAAAAAAATATTTTTAACTAAACCAATCGGAGGCTAAGTCTAGAAGATTACTCTAATACTAGTAGGGACTTGCGGACGTTCTATCTCAAAAAATTACCTATTTGACAGAGTAGTCAAACCCTTATAAAACTCAAAACTATTCATGTCTAGTTTTGTCTGTATATCACCAACAAATTAATTAGTCCTTCATAATAAATCATTCAAAGTATGCAACAGTTTTTTTTTCATCATGACATGGTGTTTTTGGTATGTGAAGAATGTTTTTGTCCTTTTTATAAAGAAATAAACACAAACTATGTTTTTACATGACATGATGGAATCGATTGAATCTTGCTTATGTTTAGCAAAGTTTGTTAATATTGAACTATTGATGTTAACATAAATTCATGTCGAGAATAACCTTTCTAATAACTATTCAGTTAAGAAATATATTATGAAATAAAAAATTTCCAAATTCTTGATTTACTAGCTAGCTGCATCCATTTAACTTTTATTGCTAATCTTTAAGTTTACTTCTTTATCCAACTATTTCTTTTGATATTATAGGAGTATATATGTTTCATCATGCTTAAAAGTAAGTGAAAACACACCTGTTTGAGCCCCACTCTTGGGACCAAATGTATTTTTGAATAGTGTTTTGTTGGAACACGTGTAGTTAAAAAATAAAGAAAAATTTTGATTTTACGTGTAAAATTATTTCATAGGAGAATGTTATGTTGAAAATGAGTTTTGGAAAAGTGAGCAAACATTGCCATCGTATTAAAAGGTTTAAGGACAATTAGAGATGTGCAAAATTGGATCAACTCCGCAGAATGACTGGTACTTTTTCAGCCACAAAGACAGAAAATATCCAACAGGTTCAAGAACAAATAGAGCAACAAATGCAGGATTCTGGAAGGCTACAGGGAGGGACAAATGCATAAGGAACAGCTTTGAGAAGATTGGTATGAGAAAAACCCTTGTTTTTTACCGCGGCCGAGCTCCCCATGGCCAAAAGACTGACTGGATTATGCACGAGTACAGACTCGAAGATAGTGATGACGCTCAAGGGAATTCCAGTGTAAGTTCTTTCATAAAACATAATATTAGATACTAGGTTGCACAGAAATGAGAAAGACAACGTGACATGACATACTCCCTCCGTCCCAAGTGTCAATATTTACTGTTTCAATTATCTCAAATTATATGTTGTTTTCCTTGTTGAGAGCATAATTGTTCTTAATTTTCTAATGTGTTACTTTTTAACATGTCTTGTTGTCAACAAATATGAATTACTCGTATTTAAACAATTATTTCATGTAGAGGAATATTAGGAAAAATATAAGTAAAATTTATTGTTCCAATTATATAAATTATATTTTCTTGATGTGTGTGAAAATAGAAGCAAGTTTATCTTAGTGGGATGGAAGGGTATTAATTTTATTGTAATAGTTGAACAAATTCAGTTAGTTCTTACTTAAAGCCAACAAAAAATTCTATAATAACATGAAATTCTTAATTTAAGTTGACAATTTATTTTTTAAAATCAAAAGTTTATTAAAAGTTTCCTCAAGGTTTCTGAATTTTATTATAAACATAAAATTTAAAAACTTATTTGAAGTTTTCAAAACAAGTTCAATACAGAAAGTTAGCGTAAGTCTTGAAAGTTTACGTGCAATGCCTTTGTTTAGTTTAGATAAAAATCATATTTTTAGTAAATTTTAATAAAAATTGATCAATTATATGGTTAAAATTTGTGGATCTTACAAAATATTTACTTGAAATTAATTGTTGACTTTAATTTAAATTTTAATCTGCTTTTTTGTTAGACCAAACACACGAATAATTGTTTATGGACATGAATGCAGGAGGATGGATGGGTGGTTTGTAGGGTTTTCAAGAAAAAGATTCTATTCAAAGTTGGAAATGGAGGAGGAAGTGGGATGAGTTCAGATCAACTCAACACTGCAGCAGCCACCCAATCCCGTACATTATTCACACAGACAGAAAGGGGAAATCAATATTCATTGCATCAACAACATGCTCATGGACTTAACTTTTCTCACATTCCAGTGGCACTGCCTCAATATCCACAACTACAAGCCCAAAACTTTATACCTACCCACAAGCCATTGGGTTGTGATCAGTTTTTAGATCAGTCACCAACTATGGCGAAGCAATTCACGTCCAACACAAGAGATTGTGAAAGTAGAAGCACTGATCAGAATCTTGGTTATGGATCGGGTATGGAAGCAGTCGTGAAGTGCCAACCAGAGAATTTGAACGAATGGGGTATGATCGATCGACTTGTGACGTCTCAACTTGGACATGATGACTCATCTAAAGGGGTGAGGTTTGAGGATGCAAATGAACCATCAATGAACCAAATCAATCAACTATCTTTACGAAGCAAGATGGATTTCTGGGGCTATGAAAAGTAGTCGTAACTCTTATTTTTAGTTTTCCAGAAAAAAAAACGTTTGAATTGAAATGATTGGATTACATTTCCTTGTTGAAGGCTTCAACGGGGTGTAAATTAAGTACTGATATGAAATAATAACAACATTATTTTTTGAACATTTTGAGTAGTACATGTTTTTAATATGTGAAAATAAATCCTTAATGATTGTAATTGAGAAATGTTAGGTGATCTTAAGGGCGGAGGATAAACAAATAAAATTCAGTATGTACACCACATCTAATCAACCATCCGCACCACCTCGAGGATGAAAATGCAATTTTAGAATTTGGAGGGTAAAGAAAGAAGTGTCAAAGACGGTTCGATTGAGCCATCATGAGTGAGCATTACTCAAAGTCGAGTTCAAGACTATAAATTGATCGTTTAATGGGAGGTAACTCATTTGTCTATCTTTTACTTGTTTTAATTATTCAGTCCATTGAACTTATATTTTAAGCATTTTATACTTGGGGTCGTATTCCTAGCATCACAAATATGCAGAAAAAACTGTAAGAATCCAACGCTTAAATTATGCTATCACATAGCTAACATAGCTAGAGATCGCAAGCCTATGCAAACCCTAAGCAAAGCAGTCGGGGGTAGTGACACGATCCGTCCCGAATCACCATAATGAGCCCGACATGTGGAGTGCGCCGATTTTAGATACTAGCTAAGTGCTGGACCTACCACTAAAGCAACTTTGACCTATTTTGATTGTGACATATTTTTATACAATTTTTGACAAAATTTCCCTTGTAATATGGATTAAAACCACTTGAATAATAATCAATTTCTTCAAATATGTACATATAATTTAAAATATGGTACACCAGTCCTCAAAATACGAACTAATCAAAATACAATACTGTTAAATCGACATTTACTATTATTTACAAGGAAAAGTCCCCAAAGCACTAAAGATACCAAATATGTAGCGAGCCCATGATATTGATACATACATTACAAATTAACTTTTCTGACAAAAGATACATGTACACCACAATAAATATGCCTTATGTAAACTGACACAATGAGTCATACAACTATTGACAATGCGTGACTCAACTTAGTGGATCGACAGGCTCCAACGCTGCTTAACTCATCTACCCTTGTAACTTCGTGAGTGGATATTTCGCAAATAAGTATAATTTTTCCATTTATGCAAACTTTTTGAAAACTTTAAGTTATGCTATTACAACTTCAAGAAAGTCTGACTGATAATATTTTTAAGACAAACAAAATTGAATCATAAAACTCTTTACTCTTTATTTTCTAAATAAACAATTATAAGGTAAAACAGATAAACTGTATAATACTGAAAAATAACACCGAAAGGTGCTCGGAATAACAATACTCATGTATCTATTAATACAGATATACATGGCAAAGCTATTCAATTCTGAAACTATGTAATTTTGGTCATACGTGCACAGAGCTGCTCGAAGGCTATAATCTGGTCATACACTATGGAAACACATTCACAATAGTGTAGAACGGTAAATCACCATAGTGGTCATACATTGTGGAAACGCATTCACACTAGTGTAGAGTGAGTAAAATCACGTGAATACTTTCTGATGGTTTTAAAAATAACTTTAGATACGTTGAAATATACTAATATAAAATGCCAACGAAATTATTCATCTGAATTGAATTTAACTCTTAAATGAACTCATTATAAAATCTATTTTATACTGAGAATCATACGTCAGTTCAACTATAAGAAATATATAATTTTCTAATCTACTATAAATTGAGTAAATATTTATTTCTGAAAAATAAGTTTTTTTCACTCACTCAAGACAAGTTACAGGCTATGAAGGTCGATAACCTTTGTCAATCTTTTCGTCGCAACTGAAAATATGATACAAAATAGGCAATTTAACTACTATCATACTACGTAGCTTTGAATATAATAACCGAATACTAAAATTTGATTTCTCGATACATGAATAAATTCCTCAAATTTCCTTTAATCAATTGGAGCTAATTCTACTTTCTAATACTTTCACCAATATTTACACTATCCAGACTTACCTTCATCCCAAATATAGAAATAATCACAACTTCCAATCTAGTAAAAACTAGCAACCAACAATTCAACCAATTTAACTTTCATCTTGTTCCATAAATTCATACTTTCATGTGAATAATTACATTAACATTACATTTCCACAAACTATTTTTACTCAATAATCCAATTAAAAATTCTAAGATTTCCTATAATTGCTTATCTTGATTCAAANAATAATCCAATTAAAAATTCTAAGATTTTCTATAATTGCTTATCTTGATTCAAATGGAAATTTAACAATAAAGCAGCTTGAACAAGAATTTATACTCCTTCCCCTAAATCTGAAAATTACACCAACAACTTAGAACCCTAAAAATTTAACATCACCATTCCATAAAAAAATTACTTCTTTACCCACTTGAAGAAATGAAAAACTCGAACTCAAGCTTCTAGTAGTTGGCACCTAACTTTTCTTCCCTTTTCCTTTCTTCCTTTTCTCCTTTTTTCTCTATCTGCTTCCTCACCGTTTCAGCCTCTGTTTGTATATGTAAACTGAAAAATGGGTTCAATTTGTGCAATTTAGTGGAGCACTAAGTTACAATTTGCAAAGGAAATCCCTCGTCTACCATTTGATATAAAATATTGTCCTTTAATTTCCAAGGATAGATAATTACATTCTAACTTTAAATTTAATCCACCTTAAACCCTCAAGTATTGTCAATTGTAAAATAAATCTCAAGAAATAATTTATTCCATATAAGTCCTTATTTGACTCTGATTTTGACTAGTCGAACCTTTGACTTTGAAATAAAATATAGACTTTTGACTAATATAAAATAGGTTCTAACAGGTAGAACCTTAGTTCGTATTGGCTAGGTAAATCCTAAAACTTTCAAGGCTCAAATTCTCCCATCCCACTAGTATTCAATCAAAATTATACTCTGTTGCTCTTTTAATTTTCAACAATTCGACAACATAAATAATTAAAAATTAAGTTAATCAAAACTTCCATGCGTGTGTGGATTTTTTTTTTTTCTCTTTTTAGATATATATTGAAAATATTTTGTAGAACGAGCAAATAAAAGTAAAGGAAATTGATCTTTGGAGAGGCATCTCTATATGACACATCAAGTATTGCTAACATTCTTTAGGCTTGTTTGTGCTCACATAGAGGATAATGTATATTTTAATTTTGGGGTTCGATTTTGTTATTCTACTATATTTGTCTTTATGTGTGTGTGATTTATTAAAAACGTAAAAAAATTGAAAATTAGGAAAATTTCAAAAATATTTTCTTGTTATTTGTGTGCTTTTGTGGGTTAGATAGCCTTGTTAACTAAAGCTAAAATTAGTTATAATTATTTATGATTCATGAATTGTGATTATGTTATGCAACAATCTCTAATTTGATAATGTCCAAGTGAGATTATGAAAAATTTTGAGCACAATAGACATGATGATCATCATGTATTTTTATGTTGACTACATTGATAGATTATGTTGGCTGAACTTGGGTTGTTAAACCAACACCATAAATATAAATCATAATTATTTTAACCAATTGAAAGGATACTTTTAGGGGTGGTTGATTCGGTGTCGAGAGCTATCTAGATAAATGATGATTCCGTCTTGTTGAAGATTAGTATAGAGTATTTTTGGCCAACATATAGAACCCAGGTAGTAACCATATATTAGAGATCTAGTCTCAAGTACTCGTCCCAATGAAAAGCATTGCACTAATCCAGTAACAAAGACGTCAAAGTGTAGGAAAAAGTGGCATGCATTAGAAAAATTAAAATAATTCGTTGATGAGTTTTGTTACCTACCCTAGAATGGAGAGAAAATAGTAGGAAAAAGCAACTTCACGTTGATGTTTTCAATGTCTAAGTAAAAAAGCTACCTAAAAGTGAGAAGATAAAAAATGTGTGTTTTCTTGTATTTATTCGTATAAAAGCAAGTGCATGAAATATAAAACGCACTACAAAATATGGCTAAGGCTTGGACACTTAATTGGGGCTCTAGATTTCTAGTGAGGTTGATTAGTGAAATTTACGTAGTTCGATCCTAACAATACTTAGAGGGGGGCGAATATGTACATTATGCAAAATTAAAATTATTAATTAATTAGCAATATGTTACAAATTAATTATATCTAGATGATTAAACATACAAGT